GGTACCCGCTTCGCTGTTGATATCAGCCCCGAAAAACATTTGAGGAAATATTCAAAGGCACTTCCTTAAGCTTAGTGTCACCTTGTAACTCTTTTTTTTTGTGTGTGTGAGGCTGAAAGCTGCTTGGGGAGTCATTAGCTCTTGCAGGTCTCAAATCAAGTTTTCCGAAAACGCTGCGCAAAGAACTTTGACATCGCCATCAGAGCCTTTGTGCTAGCTCTGACGTGATCCCCGACACGTGAATTAATTTGTTTCCTAAAGCTTTTTTTTTTCCCCCCCTGTGGTCTTGGCAGGCTGGTGACATCATGACAGGGAAAGTGTGTGTGTGTGTGTGTGTGTGTGTGTGTGTGTGTGTGTGTGTGTGTGTGTGTGTGTGTGTGTGTGTGTGTGTGTTTGCGCGCGCATTTCAGAGTTTGGAGAATGCAGATAACTAAGCGTGTGTGCTTGTGTGTGCAAAAAAAGGGGGTCCCTCTCCTTTTGCATGTTACTTTGTGTGCGTGTCATCGATCCAATCTTTCCTTCATCTCATCCTTTTATTTCTTTTTTCCTTCAGCTCATGTTCAGTGATTTCCTGTCACTTTAGAATGGCGAGGGGCCCCATCAAGACGCGATTGGCCAGGAGGGAAAGTTCTGGTGGCATAAGTGCTAAAGCGCCAGTCAAAGCATGGTGCGCCTTTGAATCTGCGGCACAACTGTCCAGTACGGATACCCTGATGAAACTGTGAGAAAACTTAGCAAAACTTGAAAACAGAGGGGGGAAAATGGCTTTCAAAATCCAACAGCGCACACTGGAGGGACTCGAGCGCTGGCAAGGACCGCACTGTCCTCGCTTAGTCCATCGGAACAATCCAGCTGTAACTGACACAATGCCGTGAGAATGCCAAGATATGGAGGAACGAGAATAAACGCAAACCAAACCACAAGTCTGAAAACAAATGGCCTTCTCCTCAGGGCTATTTGGTAACTCGTTGATTTCTGCCTCTTACAACGTAGTAGCTGGAAAATAAAACAAACTCGACGCCATACGTCAAGTGAGAATGGCGAGGGACCCCATTAAGACGTGGTCAGCCAGGAGGGAAAGTTCTGGCATCGGTGCTAAAGCGCCAGTCAAAGCATGGTGCGCCTTTGAACCTGCGGCACAACAGTCCAGTACGGATACGCTGGTGAAACTGTGAGAAAATATAGCAAAATTTGGAAACAGGGCGGGAAGAAATTGGCTTTCAAAATCCAATAGCACACACTGGAGGGACTCGAGCACTGGCAAGGACCGCACTGTCCTCGCTTAGTCCAAAACATTGTCTGAAAACAAATGGCCTTCTCCTCAGGGCTATTTGGTAACTCGTTGATTTCTCCCCTCCGCAGACGTCGGAGGCTTCTTTGAGATGGGGACGATGGTCAGGTATAACTTCCTCCCGGAAGCTGCGGCGGGAGCCCCGACGGACTCCGAGGTCCTCGCGAGTCACCTGATGTCGCAGGAAGTCAACTCAACAAAAGAGGAAGTGACCTTCAGCTTCAGCGCATCAAGCGCTCCCGCCATTTTGATGTATGTCAGCTCCAGGACGGAGGACTACATGGCAGTGGTGTTGAGGCGCAACGGTGAGCGGTCGGGAGGGAGCTCGAACGTCATGAAACAAAATGTGGATGCCGATAGTATTGGAACACACGGTTTCATCAATGACAAATGGCATTTGTGCCGTGGATGGAGAAGCGGTCCTTGCTCCTAAGGTCCTGTTAAACTCCTCTGGGAGCGATCCGGTTCAACACTCTGCCCCCCCACTTGAGGCATGGATCTCTTCAAATAAACTCGGAATATATTTCAATATCATTTTTACTTGGAGTTCATCTGAGCTATTTTTGTGTTGAGCCAGGTTAGCCCGTCCTGAGTGTTACGTCAGCACGTCCGCCATATTGGATGCGGCCATGGTAGTCGCCATAAAATTGGCAAATAATATGAGTCAACTGCAATGAGGATGGCATAATACAACCAATGGCTCGGCATGAATTGCACGAGTTTTGCGATACATTGTCGAGAAGCAAGCCAACGAGGCATCTTGGCAAATTCCTTCACTTTTCCATCTCCAATACGGACGGCTGCGGCGTCAATGTACTGGATATGTACTGTAAATGATTTTCTCCGGTAACACTTGCCAGCCAGTGTTGCGAAAGGCGCCATTCAAGACCGGGAGCAGCAGTGCTCCGCGGATACAGTACAATAGCTCGATGATAACCACCAATGTGGAGCCAAGTAAGTACTTTCTGTACGGTCTTCATAATAAAGGGATTGTCAAGGTAGAATTTTTGAGGCGGGGGTTTTCATGATATATGATGAAAGTAGACCTTTTGATCTAGAAAAATGTGAGCCCAAATCACAAGACGAGCTCTTCAAGCTCCATCCTCATGTATTTGCAGGTTCTCTGCAGGTCCGCTATCAACTGGGAGGGCTGAAGGAGCCATTTGCCATCGACGTCGACCAGCGGAACCTGGCCAACGGACAGCCACATAGCATCAATTTGTCTCGCATTGACAGAAGGCTCACCATCCAGGTAGTGACTGTACACACTCACTAAATTCCGCAGACTGCTGCGAAGATGACACCGCTTGCCCTCTGCCACTTTTAATCCACTTGCAGGAGACAGATTACAATGCTTTGATCGGGGGAGGTGCGCGCACGCACGCGCGAGCGACTGTGTGTGCGCTTACATAAATCAGCCCTACCTGTCCTAATGCTGGGTGAGATCCTGATACTTCAGGAGGAGGCAGCTAAGTAAAATAAAGCGGTTGCCTCGTTACATCCAGTTAGCCAAGCCTTGTTGACAAACCAGCCCTTGGAAAAAAAAAAAAAGCCCCACCCACCCTCCTAAAGTACAGATTTGCTCTCAAATCAATTAGAATGATGATCAAAAGCTGTGATTCCCAGCAACTGTGTTGTGGATTGCGCCAAGAGAGATCAGCAGCTTGTCTGCAGTCAGTGCTCCAATGGCATTTATTTAACAACAAATAATGTAACTTTGTGTGACAAGATCATCTTTTTTTTTTCAGCGTATATTCTTTGAAACATTTTTGTTCGATGGCGTGCCAAGAGATAAACTAGGATTGGGAAAAACCGAGGGAAAATAGGGAGCAACTCGGGAAAATTTGATGCTCGACTGCCCTCACACGCTCTCAAGATGTCAGTTTTGTGTCTCTGCTGCCCTCAAGTGGCCACATAAATCACTGCGGGGTTTTTTGTTGTTTGTTTGGGGTTATTTGGGGGCGGTGGGGGGTGCCTTGAGCGGATGAGAGAGGCTGGCAGGGCTGCCTATTGATCACACACAATGTCCTGGCTGAAACAGAATTGGAGAGTTTTCTTGAGGCTGCTGAGGAGCACAATCAAGACACAGAGACCTCCTCACGTTAGACAGAAACAAGGTGAGGTCAAATCTGAGAAGGGGACCCGGCGGGCTCCGATCAACTCATCGGTCCCAAAGGACTCGAATGAGATTTGAGTATACCTGAGCAATGATTTGATAGTGGCGTTCAGAGAAGTATGCATTTAGCAGAGCATATTCTGTTGTTTGCGGCCAACGACTCGAAGAGTTTTATCTGTGATGGGGCTCCTGCCGTCCCTTAGCTACAATTAGGGAAACAAATCATAGAACACTTAATGCGCTCCTACGGCATTAAAACTTGAGTGTGCAGACTTTGCTTCAAATGGATCCATTCTGAGCTCACGGTTAAGCAAACACATTTCAGATGTTTTGGTTTGGTTTTGTTTTTTCCCGCATGAACTCCACCTTGAATATGTTCCTTATTTGCGCTTAAAAGCATCATCTGCGCTCGGGTGGAAATTGTGTTGCCGAAATGGCGCGCCGTCAAAGAAGAGCGCCCACGTAATTGTGGCCGTAATTGACAAAGTTTGGTCAATTGGGCTTGCGGCAGACCTCGGTGGACCGCTTTTTGTTGCGGCGACCCTTCGCTTGGCTGCGCAGCCAATTTGTTTTGGACAGATAAAAGTAAATAAGATGTGTGCAATTGAATCCTGTCCCATTATCCGGCCCTCCAGCCAGGGTGGAAAACAAAACCCGCACCCTTTGAGGCCGATCAAATTTGGAGAGCCCGCGCGTGTGCGCAGGGGGTAAAATGATCCGGTCGTGTCGAGGATCAGAATGTAGAACACACAGACTCCGGTGAGAGTTTAGCTCGGCCGCCATCTCATCGGTCACAGTCGGATTGTCGGCAAATGTCAAGTCACAAAAGCCGTACTTTTTCATCTGGCTCCGACGTTTCCGTCTGAGGTTGTTGGTACGCGTTCAGCGGCACGCCGGCAACACTAATGCAGTCCTCTGGCGAGCACCGAGAAGAGTGACGAGGGGGAGCTTTTATATCTTCAGCGCACACATATACACAAACGCACGGAAAGCAATTTGTGGGCCCGAAATGATTCCCGTCAATTGCGGCTGGCTGTGGCCTTTGAGCTAATTAGAAACTTCAATGAAACAGCAATAACAAGTTAATTATGTTTCAGGATTATTTAAGTGCTGTATTCCCTCCCTGCGTCAGCATCAGTTCTCCACTGATGCCTTTCTTTGTAAACATGGCGGCTGCTCTCTCTCGCTCTCTCTCTCTCTGCATTCGAACGGGTGACGTGCCGTCACTTAATGTGTGATTATTTCTCAATCTTGCCTGAACTAAATCTATACTGCACTGTATACTGTAAACAAACTGCGCCTACAGGTCGACGTATGTGCGTATTTGTCAACATTTAACGTTGATTTTCAGACATGAGGACCTAAGTCTCCTCATTGAGAAGCACGGTAGCATCATTGTACTGACTCATCTTGTGTTCGTTGCCCAATGATGCGTGCACGACCAAGGTTGGCCAATGTGCTGCGGTCTGTAGTTTGAGAGCCACGCCCCTTTTAACAATGCCATTGTGAATGTATTTCCAAGCGTCTCCCAAACCTCCCTCTCTCCCTCTCTGGTTTAGCTGGACCATTACCCCGCGGTCAGCTACTCCCTCCCGGATGCCTCGGACACCAAGTTCAATCTGATCAAGACCCTCTTCTTGGGCAAAGTTTATGGTGAGTCTCGGGATCGCATTTCCACATTTAAGAAAACAGTTCGCGACTGAACTCCCCGTGTATTATGTCATATAATCTTCTGCGCCTGATCTCATTGACAATTGACTTTTTAGATCCTGGTTACTGGTTTTTCTCTCTCTCTCTCTCTCTCTCTCTCTCTCTCTCTCTCTCTCTCTCTCTCTCTCTCTCTCTCTCTCTCTCTCTCTCTCCAAAGTGCGTATCCACATGAACGAGCCTTGCACAGTCTGCGGTTTGTATCAATAATCTTGAAAATCAACTATGCACACGTTGTGTATTGCCGTACCTTGGTCGAACAAACGGAGGGAGGCATTTACCACACCTGGTTTGTATTTCCACATGAATCCACTAGAGAGCACCAGAGAGCTACTCCAAAAGCTGTGTTGTTTCAGTGCCGCGGCGCTCATTCGTCACTCTTGCCTTTGAGTCGCTGTCTAATTAAAAGGTGATTGTCAGACTCAAAACACAGCCTGTGCTTAACAATCACACAAAACAAATATCTTTACCGACTTGCACATCATTTGAACGTGGACATTCAAGCGTGCAAAACACAAATGTTTTGCTACTGTTTTAATTGGCTTATTTTGATGTCACATGTAATTCATTCATTTCTTTCATGCAAAATGTGTATCTTGACAGAAGAGCTACCCAAATTACAAAGAAGGAATGACATTTTGTTCCTGCAAAGAACACAATTACCGTATGTAATCATTGTGAGTGTGGCTGGTGTTTCTCGTCCTGCTTTCATCCCTTGAAGCGGAACATATCTGAGATGGTGTCCCGTCAAAGTGTTGTCTCGTGTGTGGAACCCCAGGAAAGTCAGGAAACAAATGCATGAAAGGAGCGCAAGGCTATCAACAAGGCAGGAGACGAAACAATCGCACGCACATCTAATTCCAATCTTTTGCCCAGAGGCCTCACCGACAAAAGAAGCTATTGAAACACTCGTCGGACGCATCTTGTTGGGAGACAGCAGTGCTTTGTTTGACAGGGGCTGGCACGCTCACAACGAGCGACGTCTCCTCCGTGCTTGCTTCTACAAGCTTCTTTTGCAACAATAGAAACCACCTGATTGCGCAATATGAAGCAATTTTAATGGAAAAATGCGTGTCGTGTTTCTGGTGGGGTAAGCAGTGACCACCTTAAATAATGGGTCGACCCCGGGCTCGTATAGTTAATAGTGTGTTCGAAACAATATTTGTCCTCAGTATCAAAATCCCGAATGTTGTCTTTGATGATTAGAAGTTCCTCTTGGTCACTTCCGTCATTTAGTTCAAGAGTATAAATGAGAATTTGCATCTGCGAAGATGTTATTCACTAAAGTGACATTGGGGAGCTTAAAATAAGGGCCCAAGTCAGCTGATCAAATACGCTCATGTTGACAACATTCCAAGCTGCGAGAAAATTGATTTTCTTGTCCCATGGGAAGAAATTGCCTCAATGTCTCTCTTTTTGCTCTTTGACCTTTGGGGAGAGAGGTCGGAATTCAAGCTGTGATAGTGATGTGATGAGTTGTTGTCTTTTTTTTGGGGGGGGGGATTCTCGCCATCATCAGCTTTATTTGCCTGCATTTCTGTCCTACGCCTGATTGAAAATTCTCCATCTGTTGTTCTATTCGCTCATGAAACTGTGCAGGCGGGCTCTGATCTCGCCGCGCTCGAGTGTATCTGGCTAAGGCTTTGAGTGTGATAAAATGTCTGCCGCTGTACTTTTTCACCCGGCGAATCCTGATCCACGTCGATGTAAATTCCATACAGCCATGTTTTGACCAGCTGCTGTCAGGGTGGGGGTGGGACCGCACTGCAGAGAGGGCGAGAGAGAGGGAAGGAGGGAGAACACAGAAGGGCAGAGATGAGCGAAAAGTCCTTGCTAATATTCTGTGTGGAGATCAAAGAGGGGAGGACACGAGTGAAAGAAGAGGAAAGCAGGTTAGACTCACACTTTGACTCAATGTAACTGTCAGAGGAAGTGTGTGTGTGTGTGTGCGTGTGTGTTTATACTCCCGTGCATCCATGGGGAGGTCAAATGTTTGTGCTAGTTTGCACCCCAAAAATGCTTTTCTACCTGATTAAGTTGAATGGCTGCATGCATGTAGCACATCTATACAATCTGGTTTGTCATTGTGAAGGCGTTATATGGCAAAATTCTGACTTGCAAGTTGCTGCAGTTGACTGTGGTCATGAGCTGAGGGCGTTGCAACTCCATATCATGGAAATTGTCAAGTATGTCACTTGCAGTCCCACTTGAATCCAGTCTCTCTCTCACTTTTTGATGATTTCCGCATGTTTCACTTGTGCAAACGCACACAAAAGTGAGTATTAGCTTCACGGTTGGTCAACTGAGTGCACGAGGACATTGCCGAGAATGAGAAGGAACCTCGGTGACGGTTAGGCGAAGTGAAATCGACAGCGTACGGCTGAGCTCGCCTCGCAATTTGTTGCGCTTCCATGCCGTTATCGAGGCGCTCGCTCTGAAGTCCACCGCTACTGCGTTTTATCATGCATTCAAAAGTGTGCCATGAGTCGGTGAGCACAGCCTTCATCACCCTTTTTCCATCCCGGCATCAGCTTCCATTTGTTGCCATGGCAACAGTTTGATCTCTACACCCTCGTTGTCATCTCTCTGGCATCCGGGAATTTTTTTTTCTCCACACACGCGTCTTTCCCGCCTCTCCATTATCAGCCGTCGCAGACGCAGCCACACCCATACCCTCCCTCTCAACTCATCCTGCGGATGTCTCCATCTTCCCTTGTTTCTCCTTCGTCCTTGACCCACATCTCCAAGCCCCCTTCAAAGAAAATCCGCCTCCCCAAAAGCCATCCCCTACCTGCCCGTTCTCCTCCGGCATTATTGATTCATGTCACACCGAGCCCACACGGTGCACCGGACTGCTCAACTCGATGACCTTGAGGCTATCGTGCGCATGTTGATGTGTGTTTACGGTGCGGCCAAACTGCTGGATCACGATGGCAATCATTTGGGATGATACGTTGCGGCAGCGCAATCTACTGCCAAGTACTTTGGACTTTGCTGCGTTGCAGTCAAGAGACGCGCAGCAGCATTCTGGACCCGCTGGAGACGCTTGATGGAGGAGTGGCTGACTCCAACGTCAAGTGCGTTCCAGTCATCCGGCCGGGATGTGACGAAGGCATGAATGACTGTTGCAAAGCGCTCTCGAGAAAGGAGAGGCTTGAGACTTTCGCCAGCCGCCGAAGACGAAAGAAGCTGAGTGGAACAACGGCAGCAACTGAGCCAACACTCAGGCGCACGTAAATTATCAAAGATGTGAAGTGGCTGGTCCCCGCTGCTGCCCGAGAACGGGATGCTGAGCAACATTTCAACTTATTGGTATGCAGATGTATGCAGCAATTTGCTTCGTGCCTCATTTTGAGCCGAGTGCCCTTCCTCCCCTTCTGTTGTTGCCATCAGATACACGATACGGCGGCGTATTAGACATGCTCACATCTGTGGGAGGCCTGGTCAGATCATGATTATGCGCCGTTCCTGGCGGCGCCATCAATTGTGTGCCTACGCACACACTTGCATTGTTCCCATCACAATGAAAATGGGAGATAATCAAGCCACGCCTGGATGGGAAAATTGCATCTCCGAGTATACGGCCGTGATGGCTGCGGGCTTCATGATGTGCTGTTTTCAAAAGCTGTGTCATCATGAGCACGGATAGTCTATTTGGGAGTCTTTTCAGTGAATATGATGCATTTGTTCAGTTCGCCAATTTGTCCGGCACATGTGCGCACTGTTGAGATCACGTCTCCCACTGTGCGGCTGTCTTTGTCCTTCCAGAAACGGGATATGTTGACCCAGTCGTGATCGAGCGTTACAACGCCCCGGGCTTCGTGGGCTGCTTATCGCGGGTGCAGTTCAACGGCGTCGCGCCGCTCAAGTCTGCATTGAGGAGCGGGCCGCAGACAGCCCTGGTACAGGAAGCGCAGCCTGCGGCCGCCCGGCCCGCGTCTTACCAGGGGAAACTTGTGGAGTCCAACTGCGGGGCGTCACCTCTCACCGTCCCACCAATGTCGGCCGCAACTGACCCGTGGCGTCTGGACAACACAGGTCAGGATTCCCCCCCGCCCAAATAACCTTTCCAAATGGATTCAAACAAATGAACAACAATCACAAGAAGATCCGGCCGTACCATCTCAAATGAATTGAACGAGTTCCACTTGAAAATGGACTTGGAAGCCATTCTTGAATGATATCATACCCCGCGTATCCACAGATCATCTCTTATATTGCCGTGTGCCTTAATCATGGAATGCACGCTGACGAGCATTTTGTCTCCACTATTGGTCGTCCCAACATTAAGTATGCATTGCGCAAGAGAGGTCGAAAAGCAAGATAAGTCTGACTCCCGTTCTTTACTCCCTCAGATGCGGAATTCCCTTTTAATGAGGAAAGAGTGATTCCTGATGGAGTCAACCGAGACTCGGCCATTGTTGGAGGTACATTTTCTCAACATGAAATCTTTTCCGCCGTCCGCTTGCACTGACTGCACGTTGCTTGCTGTCTCACCCCCGCAGGGATCATCGCGGTGGTGATCTTCATCATCCTATGCACTCTGCTGTTCCTGATCCGCTACATGTTCCGCCACAAAGGCACCTACCACACCAACGAGGCCAAAAGCGGCGCGGAGCCCCCCGGCGAGTCTCCAGAAACGGCCATTATCGGCACAGAAAACCCGGAAACCATTGAGGAGTCAAAGAAGGAGTGGTTCATCTAACAAGCGTTTGACGGCACTCCCCGAGAGGACGTGAGCCGTCTCGCCACAAGTCGCCAGCATGATGGAGACGGTTCAATGCAATGACCAGTCATGGGAAGGAGAAAGAAAAGTCATTGCAGTCGGACAATAATCTCCCAAAGAGAGAGAAAGAGAGACGTGTATATTTTGTTTTTGGGTTTTTTTCTCACAAACTGTATATCTACGGTATATCGAGAGCGTCGGAACTGAGGGACTCAGGCGAGTGTTGCTCCACGAGGCTGTACATGTAAATCCTAACTGGCTTGTCCTTCGTCTCGTGCTTGGGAGTTTTATGGAGTCCTTTGAATACTGCATATGACAAATAGTTATATTTACTGGGTTGTGTGATAGGACAAAATCTCTGTTAGTTTTGATTTCATTTTTTAACAAAAAAAAAAAAAAAAGATCTCTAATCATCACGCCAAACGATTAGCATTTTGTTTTTGCAGACTGTCATGGCGCCAGCCTGCCTTTGTACATACTTGGATTTATTTTTGTTCAAAGATTTATTGAGAGAGTCCGTGACATCAATACTAATCTATCGAGGAGTGTTAAGGCTGCACTGAAAAAAAAAAAAAGTTGCACTCTTATGTGAAAAAAAAATCCAATAAAAATCCATTCGTCCAGTGAACTGGATGAATGATTGTCAAAAATTCCCACTAGTCCTTCAACTCATCAGCCGCCGTGTTGCTCAAGGGCTGTGCGATACCGTAAATGAATCGAAAACACTACTGGCTGCAAAAGCGGCAATTTCATTGGAAGTGATTCTCAGGAACAGACGCATGAAACAAGTCATCCCGATGACGGTGTTCATGTGGCAAAACATTGGCCATTGACCTGTTTGTGAAACTTCAACCCAGCCAGTCTTCATCCGAACAAGCGAAGTTGCATCCCAATAGGCTCACTTTTTATTTTTATTTTTTTTCACATGAGATTGCATCTTGCTCCCTGTATTGGAAAGGATATCTGTTTATTTCGTGAGGCTGCCAGAATACTCCTTCCTCCTCGTCCTTTTGCCAATGACATCATGTATGTAACAAAGTGAGTTTGATGGCAACTCTGACATTTGGTTGTTCGGGGCCGTGTTGGTGTTTTCTCCAAGCATGATGAGAATTTTTTATCGCAGCTGGTTGCGTTTGTTTCGCTCATCGTCGCAGCTTTCTTTTTCTTTGCGACCGTATTCGGACTTGAACCCTTCGTTTTTCTCTTTGCCAAACAGTCTCCGCGATTGTCTTTGCCGAGGACCATTTCACACACCGACGCTGAGCTGTTGATAAAAGAGGTCAGGCCATGATCAGAGAGCCAAAAAACTCAAGTCGGCGCAGATGGACGTGCAAAGTCGTCAAGTTGGTCATTGGCGTTTTCCAATGGCTTGTGCCTTTGAGCCATTTGGCCCGGTCCTGGACTGAACCCGACTACCGCTGCGGGAAATCTCAGGCGTCGGCTGATTTGAGTGGCGCTTGGCGCTAAACGTCGGAATCCATTCCTCTTGATAAACTCGTCAAGGTGTGGAAGGTGATGCTGAAAGGCGAGCAACGCGCCTCCGACGCTGTGCTCCGTGTGACGCGCATCGTGTTTGATGGTGACCGCGTCGAGATTGTTCCACAGCCGCGACGTGGAATGAATGGGGACTTAAAAGCAGTGCCATTGCCTTCCCTTCAACAATCAAACCACGTCGGACTTGCGTTTCATACTTTCCCTCCGTTTGTTTCTTCTGCATTCTAAATACAATTTCGACGAGCTGCCAAACGTGTTCGCTTCTTATTCGTTACTCGCGACGTGTGCGTGCCATGACATCGTTGCGAAAGCCCTCTCCCACGGATGGATTTGGGCATCTGTGTTGCCTCGTAGCTCGCGCGTGAACTCTGCCTGCCTTTGACTTTGGCCTCAAATGAGACTTGAATCGCCAAAGGCAAACAAGGAGCGACTTCCTTTTCTCGAATCGTGAGAGTCCCGCCAGATAGAACGGGATCACACATTTGCCCTCCCAACGGGGTCCAAACATGAGAATGAGGACAAGTGTAGCCATAACCCGAATGCTTTTCTATCCGCTCTGTTCAGTTCAATAAAGAGTGTTTGATCTTTGACAAGCCGTCCTTTCCTCGCCATCCTCTCTCCTGCAAAGTATTTGGCCATGTCATCGTTGAACCAACAGGAAGTGAAAATAGAAGCATCGCAGCCATTTTGCAGCTGTGAACGTGTGACGGAGCGCCATCTTGGTTCTAGTTCGTCCGAAAGATGTTTTTATTGGGTTGAGGTCAGGGTTCTGAGTGAGTTCTTTGACACTTAAATCATCCGTGAATTCCTTCATGGATTTTGGGGTTTGTGCACCGGGGGCGTAAAGAAAAGGGCCCGCCTCGAGCCGAGCCAAGCGGATTCGAAAACGGAGAGATCAATAGGACAGGTAAGATGGAAGCCGTTTAGCATTTCGAAACTGGCAAAATGTCAGCCAGTCATTTTGTTGCAGCCTACAGAGGCTCATGCACAGCAATGATACACTGCTTCTTGAACATACCAATACACAAGACTTTGTTTCCACTTATTTTTATTGGCTTGTTGGTAAGCAAATCAGTAGATGAAAAGAAAAATAAAGTTTCAACCGACATATTTTCTCTCTGCCACTCTTCGTTTTATTTACAGCCGTCGTGTGAAATGGAAATGCAAGTTGCGCAAAGCGGGTGTGTGGAGCGGATCTGCCTGACGGGGGCGTCGGAGGAAACTCGTCAGGCCTCAGGACACTCGGCTGCAACAAGATGAGGAAACGGGCGAGTTAGAAGCTCGGAGGGGACACCTGCCAGGTAATCGAATACGTTTCCAATACGCACGAGCATTGGGGAGGATGGCGACGTTTTCAGGCAGGATGCCGGTCTCCGTGCAGAAGTCGGCGAATGCCTGCTGCAGGGCCACCCCGACATCGGGAGAGCGAGCTGCAAAGAAAGCGAGTGGCCTTCAATCGGACGTGGCCGCCAAACCCTCCCCAACGCAACATGGCCCATATTGCATTGAGAGCCTTGCGAACAAGCTGCGACTCACTGTAAAGTTTGTTCAAAACCTCCGAGACTCCCTCCTTTGTCTTGATCGTGTGGATCAACGCAAAGTTGTCATACAGGACTCGGACGACGCGCATGTCGTTGTCGTTGTTCCAAACTGGAAAATAGCACAGGTTAGTTTGGTGCAGTTTGCAGTTGGTACACACACACGATGCCTTCAGTGTAGACAGTCACATTGCATGGTTGAGTTTTGCAGAAGAAGCCGCAAAGGCACAAAATAACTTGACCGTACTAATTGTGATCAAAAGAATCACATTTTAATGTGATAATACTTGCATATGAAAGCCGACTTTTTTCGATACTGCTTATGCTGACGAGTGAAAATATATACAAACAATTCTAAACACTACAAACGATCCATTGTCGTGCCTGTTAAGTCCAATTACCCCATGGGGATGAATAAAGTTTTCTGAATCTGAATCTGAATTGTTTATGTAGGGCTCATTCAGCTGACGCTGCCATCTGCTGGAGGAAAGTGGTAGTTTCAACTTTACTTTTTGAAAAAGCATGACAATCGAATCTTCAATCTTGGCATATAAACTCCCGATAGTTGAGTGACTCGTTTGTTTGGGTTTTTTTGTTTTTTTTTTTGCACAGCCCTCTACGAGGCAGGCAAAGCTTTCATGGTGGCCATCTTCATGTCATTGACTCTCCGCTAAGTTAGGCTAGACACGAATGAAAATACGATCATGTGGCCTACATTGATGTGCCTACCAACTCACCTTGGCTATGGAAGGTGAAGCGGCCGGGAGTTTCGGTTTTTTGAGCGAGATGAGTCATTTTCCAGCAGGTGCCATCATCCCTTGAAAGGGGACAAACAAGGTCAGGATTTGGAGTCCACTCTGTGACAATAAACTTCTCACGTTCATGACCCACTTTATGTGGGCATAAGTGAGGTCCATGTCTCCCCCTTCGGTTGGCACGATGACTGCGGTCCCGACCTTCATGCTTCCCCTGCGGTTCACAAACCAAGGCGCATTGGTGGCAAAGCCGACCATGTACCACTTGCCGGCCATCTGAAGGAGACAGCACAGATAAATGAAAAAGGAAAAGAAAATACGGCGGGAAAAAAAAGCAGATGAATGAAAAGGTCTTTTTGCTTTACCCTCTGCAGATCAAAATCCTGAACGGGCATGACGTCGGCGTACGCGGCCAGTCCGCACGTGAGTGCGACCAGCATCCCGGGTAGCGTGTTCATCGTGGTGTCTCCTGTGGATCGGCTCCTCTTCTTTGGTCTGGCGAGGTGGGTCAAGGGGGTCTTATATGCTGCATCCCCTCCTCCGCTCTTCTTGTCTCCTCCCTTCTGCCTTACAAAACTCTTTGGCCTTACGAACGCGTGCTGTTATGCAAGTGCATTTGTGTAAGGGAGGGTTGGACATGTCATGAGGGTTTCTTTAATACGCATCTCCTCTTTCTCGCCCATCACAAATGTTTGGCGCAGGCCAAGATGATTCAAACGCCTTGTTTGAGAAGAGTGCAAATGTGCTTCCACACGGGCAAACACGGGAGGCTCTCGCGACAGAATTACACTGGGTCACCTGTCAGCACACTTGCAAGCTTCTGGGAATGGCCCGGTCACGAGGACCAAAGCTGCATTTCTGACCGTCAAGCTTTTTGCGACTGGAATTTGCGGTGACATGGATAAGCCGTGCAAGTCATGGATAGATGGATGGATGGTTTCTTTTGCAGTTGGTATCACACCCTGTTCATTTAGAGGTGATAGTCAAGTTATATTATGAAAATTCAAACGTCTGAGGAATAAAACACAATCACAACTTCATCATTTTAAATAATAGCCCTGATACCTTTGCAGTGCATTTGAATGAGAAAGAATATTTTGACTAAAAAAGGTTAAATTCTTCAGCTGCTTCCCCAAAAAACAAAAACAAAACCAACCCCCCCCCCCCCCCCCCACCACTTTTGGGCGAAGCGAAAAACTGTCACGGAGTGCCGGGATTTGCAAGCAGGGCCTTAAAAAACTCGCCGT